TCAAGAGGATGAAAAAAATTGCAGTGTTGGAGCTCAGAGTGCCCTCTGCTYTGCTCTGCAATTTAGCCGTAACAAAGAATCACAGATTTATGGAATCATAGAATAGTTTGGGTTGGAAGGGACCTTWTAAGAGTCCTACACCACCCTGCCATGGTCAAGGATATCTTAAACTGGATCAGGTTGCTCAGAGCCCCATGCAACCTGCTCTTGAATGTTTCCAGGATGGGGCTTTCATTCCCCTTCCTTTTCTGGCTGACACCTGCAGCAATCCTCCTATTTCTCTTTGCATCCCACRCTAAGTTCAGCTTCAACTGCATCTTGGCCTTCCTGACCTCACCCCTACAAAACTGGGCAGCATCCCCATATTCTTCCCATTTCTTTACCATCTGGATTTGTAGCAAACATTACAACTAATACAAGTGGTCTGCCTGTGAGTAAAATCAGCTAAGTGAAGAAAAGAATATGAAATCTGTGTACTCTCCTCTGCTTGCTACCTTTTGCTGACAACTGCTTATAGATATCTTGCCCAATCTGTGCATATTATTTACTTGCAGCTATTACTAGTAGGAGCTGATTGAGAGTACCTTGATGTATTGAGGAAATTACAGCAGATGGATATAAAAAGATGAGATGAAAGGCAAGGTGGATTAGTATTCCATTAAATGGGCAGAGCTAGGGGAAGGCTCTACAAGGCAGTTAAAGTGGAAATGAATTCAACAGTGTTATGGAAAAACAACAAATATAGAACAAAGGCCATGGCTGTCCATGTACTGACATTGTGTTGTCATCAGGTCAACAGGCAAATTATTTAAGCACTGTATTTTCCAAAGGTTATCTTTATTAATAGTTCTTCACTACCAAAGAGCAGAGAGACATGGATATTTCACAAGTTTTGTTTGAGAAAAAGATTAAGAAGAAAAAAGGGGAGGATAACAATAGAGAGCTACTCTGACACTCAAGCAGAACAACATTTTTCATTTCCATAAGATAGCTAATTTATTATCTATTAGCTTTGATTAGCTTATTATTTATGCTTCATGTGGAAATTCTGAAAAGGATGTCCTCAATCCTTTTCATTCATGCTGTTACATATTTGGAAACAGCCAGAATGAAAAAAAAAATCTGTCTGCTGCTACAGACACTAAGGCAACCCTGTAGGAAAGAGGAATGTTTGAACTTTACCCTCATCTTCATTTCCTGTTGCAGCAGGTTGTTGTACATATTTATTCAGAATATGCAGCTGACATTTTTCACTAGAGTTAAGCCTGTACTTCTGAGGACTCGTGCTGTGGGCAGGAATATACCCATCGCTCTGGTTCTACTGCTCCAAGTGGAAGGTMTAAAAACATCAGGCTCTTTTTTCTGAGAGCATCAGGCAGAGGAGTTCTCCCTCTTGTGGAGTCAACTGTGACTCCACTGGAAATTTAAATTCTGTTTCCATGATCACCCACTCTCTGAGACAGACAGGACCTAAATCCTAAGACAGCAAGAGAAAGGTGAATGTAATTTGCAGGTTTCCTCATATGATGGCACGATATGGGCAAGAGCAATGTCTAATAAGAAACAAGGCAATATCACAATGAAGACTGTATTTAGACCCGAACACACATTGTGCATTGCAATCATTCTTAAATTCTTTTGCACAACAGGCATCTTGTTCAGCAGCTTGTCCTTTAGCTTATGATCATTACTGTCAAATTTGTCCTTTTTCTGTTTCTAAAAGACTCTGCACTTCTGTGTAGAGGAGGGATTTTTTTCCTCCACCCTGATCTGTAGGCAGAATATTCTCAAACATCATCAAGCAGGTTTTCTTCAGGGCAAGTGTAAACTTTTTTGCCCTCCCTCCCTCCAGCAGGTGTGGCTCACAGTTGTTTTTGGCTCTGGGAAATGAACATTTCTGAGCATTATGTAAATATATTGCTGAATTGATCTTTGTTCTCTATGTACGCTGAAATGTATTCAGTTCTATCACTTCACAGACAGAACATTTTGGATGAACAGCTATTTAAACACTGACTAATTTCTAGTGTTTTTTTTTTTTTTTATTGAATTGTAGTACAAACTAATTCATTCTCATTTATTCTTCACAAGCTCAACTCTTGATCATTTGCTTTAATGTTGACCTCTCATGTTTCAAAGCCATGGTCATGTAACTGAAATTCCACTCCATTCCTTTGACTCTAATACTGACCTTTCAAGGTAGCTAATAACCAGACATTTCAGTAGCCCACTTATCTTTTTATTTTTCAGTAACATCCATTACATTAAACGTGTGCTCCCAGAGCTCTTGATGTACAAGACAAAGTAGCTAATTTCGCCCTGACACTGTGGCATCTTATTTAGATCTGCATTTTATTTTTCTTATTCGCATTTTTTTCTTTTCATTTCAAAGCTTTTGAGCTACTTACAAAATTATAGAACTTCACATAGTTGCTTGGCTGCTACTCCTCACAAGCCAAAAAATCAATCCTGCAGAAAAAGATGGGAAGGTTTACAAAACCTGCTGGCTTATCAGAACAGGGAGTTGACAAAGCTTGTACTACAGATTGGAAGATTGCGTAGGAAGACCTCAGTTTCTGTTACACAATGAAGGTAAATTTCAAGAAATGTATAAGGAAGTGTCTTCCTTTTCAAGTCTCCCATGTAGTGAAGGCCTTTCATCTTACAGTATAACAGAGCTGTAACCTGTCCCAGTGTCAAGTTGGGCAACTCTCGGGTAGTTTCACCCTTCTGTATCCTCATCCTACTTGATGTATAAGGCATTTCCTCACCTCTGTATCCAGGGATCACACAGCTGGCAAACTAGAYGTCAAATAGCCTCCTCCTAATATTTTGATATTTAATGATGAGATACTTAGCCTAGGTGCCAAGACTGTCTCTGAAAAAAAGTAAAACGATTTATTRTCTTAGTGTGTAATGGAGCATCTGTGAATAACATAGGGGGAAAAAAATACCTCATAGAGCAAGAAAGTGCTTGAATTGCTTTTATATTCCATCTGAGAAGAACTAGAAGTTTTTCCTTCCRTAAATGCTTATTTTATTGAGTTATAGAGAACACAAATAAGAGTTAGTCTCACAGCTCTCCTGGCAACCCAACCTGTGAGATCTAAAGCAGGGCAAATTTCTTTCACAGTACTATTTTTATGCTTTAAARCCACATAAATATAGCATTTGCCAAGAATAATATGTTTATTTATTTAAACACTTGCAGTACCTATGACTTTGCTTTAGATATTTGTTAATAACTTATATGTATTATTTGTAAGAAGTGAAAAATCAACAAACACRTTAACATTTCTGAGATTCCAATGTCCATAGAGGATTTTAGTAACTTTATTTACATTTATAACCTTGTACCTGCCTACTACTTTTCTTCTGTTCAGAAGAAAATGAATGCTTGTGCATCATGCCCAGAAAGTCAAGAGGCTGTGCTGGGTTGACCTTTGCTCGATGCCCAGTGCGCACTAAGCTGCTCCATCACTCCCCCTTCTTAGCAGGACAGGGGAGAGGAAATAAGATGAAAAACAACTTGTAGGTTGAGATAAGGCAGTTTACTAAAGCAAAAGTGAAAATGTGTGGATGCACAACCAAAGAAGGAAAAAATAATTTTTTTCTCTACTCTCCATCAGTGAGCAATATCTGGTCACTTCCCAGGAAGCAGGGCTTCCGCACGCGTAATGATTGCTCCGGAAGGCAAACTTTGCCAGTAACAAATGCCCCACTTCCCTGCTACTTTTCTTAACTTTYATAGCCAAGCTGATGTCATATGGTATGGAAAATCCCTTAGGTCAGTTTGGGTCAGCTATGCCAGATGTGTCCCCTCCCAGGATCCTGCCAGAGRCAYGYTTAGGAGTGGAATGTTGGGGAGACAGTGCTGATGCTGTGCCAGCACTGCTTGGCAGCAGCCAAAATGTTGATGTGTTATCAACACCTTTCCAGCTACCAGGGCACAGCATGGCACTGTGAGGGCTTCTRTGGGCAAAATGAACTACATCCCAGCCAGACCAAATATGCAAATTCCTGCAAAAAAAGATTTTGGCAAAGCACCAGACAACAAAAGAAGTTTCTCAGCTCACAGTTTTGTATGGATATGGTACCATATATAATTTCGTACAGATTATTATTATTATTATTATTATTATTATTATTATTATTATTATTATATGGATACGGATATTATTATATGGATTATTTCATATCTGTAATGTCTGTTGTTACCACCTGAGATGTCATCTCAGGTGTCTGAAGTAATTTAGAAACTTTGGTCTTGCATTGAAAAACTTCACAGGATGGTACAGCACTGTCTTGGTGTGACACATTTCTAAATTAGGTTTTTTCACTGTGGAAAAAATTAGTATGATTTCTGGGATTACTTTTTTGATACTTCTAGGAAAGCAAAGGACACTCTGAGAAGGTGAAGGGTTTTCCCTGAAGTTACACTAGCTGGAATGTGACTCAGTGCCTTGAAGTGCTCCATGGACGACTGTTCTGCTGGCACGTGAAAGTACTTCAGCACAATGGTGTAATTAGTTTGTTAGAAATTCATTTTCTGCAAAAGGGTAATGAATGTGGCCTATCATCAAATGAGAATTTCTCACAGAACTTAAATGGCCAAACCCTTGGGTTTTCTGCTCTTGGTAAACTATGTAGGCCAGGAATTATGTATTAGAATAATTGTCTCAAAGCATGTCTACCAGCAAGAATTCTCTATTTTTTCACTTTGGCTAAGAATTTAGTTTTATTTTTAGAAGAATACTATGGTTTCTA